GATAATTATGGCAAAAGTGAGTGTGTTTAGGAGACTATGAATTGCTGCAGAAATGGAAGGTATTACGATTTTAATCGGCTTAAGGTAAAGCCCCGTGGGCTTCTAGACTTTAGTCCCATGAGTCAGTCTGGCAACATGAAAAAACATACTAAAGGGAGTTTCAGTTTTCCAAGAATTACTCATTGATCTGCAGTTTATGTCTTATCTGATGTTTGGTCTTGAGCACCTCTGTCAGGCTGTTACTTTGTATCTTGCATGCTGCTTTTGGCCCCAGATGTAAAAATAAAGCTAAGACTTTCTATGCAGAAAGGAGCATAGAAACAAGGTTGTTGAATATTTACAAATAACCTCTTGGGATGCTAAAACCTTGGGCTTTAACCTTTCCCTTTCCCCACAAAATTCTCTGCAGAGGGTTGAAAGGTAAGCACACAAGGAATGTGTGAAGCCTCACTGGATGTCACGCTTGCTAGGCTGTGGGGAGAACTTCTATCAGGGCCACCGTGGCTATGAGTGAGTATGCGTGAGTAGACTGGGCCAAAAGCTTTGCCACACATGTCTCCAGGAGCTCACAGGCAGATGGGTCCAGGAATGTCTCACTGCTGGTCAGTGAACATCTGGCATGCCTCTCCAGTGCCCACGGGATACTGTGGTGAGGTAGTGACATGACCTCTGCAAGGAGACTTGGAGATCACTAGGGGACATCAGGGCCCAGAGCCCGTGTGGCCCACTCTCCCCCCATCAGAGGCCTGGTTGATTTCAAGTTGGAACTGAAGGATCCACCAAGAAAGATGGGGTAAGACAGGACTGCAGGCTGAACCTTGAACCTGGACTCAGCTCCATCACTTGCATAAATGGAAACAGCATGACTGCTGTCACAGGGGCTAAATGGGGTGGCACAGCAGAATGCAGCTAGCACGTGACAGTTTTCAACATTTCTTCTTCCTGGTTATTGGAAGATGATAAGTAAAATCTGAACCTAAAAGCTCAGCAAGGGCCACTTACCTACGAATTCTGGGTACCATAAAACATAAAAGAACAAGTCAGTTTACCAAGGACAATGTGCAAACCTGCCTAATCCGCCTGTCACTCACAAACCACTGAAACAACACAGTTTCTATCCCTAATGTCTAGATAATTCCACTCTTTCACTTGTTGTGGTAAGAAACCATTCTGCTTCCTGCTGGAGTAGAACATGACTTCCGTGCCGCTCATGGTCTCCACGGGTGTCGTCTACTTAGGAAGGCACAGGCTTTCTGCAGTGACGCGATGGACACTGAACTTAGGATTATATTCACCAGCGCACACTTGAAAACATCCTAGTACATAGTCTATAAATTGTCAAATGAATGCAAATGCCCTCACATCACGGTTTATTTTAAGAAAACTTGAAGTCCTCGCACGACTTAGAAACGTGATGCTTAACAAAAGCCAAGCACCGTGGCGGGGGTGAGGTGTGGTAGGCAGAAACCCTTCACAAGGACAGCTGAAAGCAAAGAGAGTGGCACTCGGCCCGGAATTCTCAGCAAATGGGAACGTCGGCTTCAGTTGGGTACTGCACACCGTGTTTAGTGGGGCATTGCATGACTGAGTCTTGTGCTCCGAACATAAATCTGAATGTCAGCTAGGAGTGTGTTCAGAAACAGACAAGGCCACACTGTCACTCTGCAATGCCCTGACTTTCTCCTGTCACACATGCCCCCCCCCCCCACACACACACACACACCCCTCCGGAGACAGACAAGCAGGTTGGAAAGAGCGAGTTGAAGTCCCATCACATTGAGCCCCCAGGAGCTAAAGCGACTTTCCCAGGTAACTAACAGCTAGTGAGCAGCGAGCGAGATGCTGCAAATTCGGTTCCAGGTCACCACGCGAAGGCCACTGTTCTCTGCTCTGAACCCCACGACGCTGCCTTCAGATGGAGGAAGATGCCGACTCTTCAGAAAAACCCCCACTGCTGCCACACGGCTCCACCAGGGAGGCCCCCACGGAGCACGAGCGGAGGTGGCCGGCTAAATCCTTGCCCAGGCCGACCGAATCCTTGCTTGCGGCGGGCAGAGAAGCGGGGCCAAGCAGCGGCCCAACGGAAGAGTGTAGAGAGGACACCAGGGAGGCAGACAATGGGGGCTCCGTGCTCCCGCCGGGAAGCACGTGCCGCCACCCTGCCTTCTGCTACTTAATTGTTTATGCTCATTCAGTAAGTAGTTAACAAAACACACACAGCACCCAGAAAAAGCGACGTTCTCGCAGAAGAGGAGGCCAACTAGATCGAAGACGTTTTTATGCCACAGATCTCAGTATTTCACAGTTGTTCCTAGCTAGCCCTCCATATCAGCCATGAGCATCACCTGAGACACGCTGTGCCGGGCATAGGCTGGCTGGCTGCCAGAAAAAGAGGGGCCGCACGGGTCCTGGCTTCCAAGTCCTGCCAAGAGTGACAGCAGGCCAGCTGCCTTGTGGATCCTGTGCTCACCTGCGACATGCGACCCAGCACGCGAACAAACGCAGTCTCACAGAACAGCACTAAGAAGAATATCAACTCGTTCACAATCACTGACATGAATTTACGTCATTCCAAATTCTGTTCCTGGTTGCCGCTGCCATGAATTTATGTCTTTGCAAATTCTGTTTCTGAATGCTGCAATGCTGTCATATGTATGTGCTTTTATATTTTGCTTGAAAATAAATAGTCAGGCAAGGAGAAGGTTAATTGAGATAATTATCTGGTACAGACTGTACAATGTTGTTACTGATTTACGTAGTTGGTAAAAATTGCAAGTTGGTCATTATTTTGTTGCAGTTAGTGTTGTATACTTATCTTTTGATATTTCAGGGCTTTCATACTTCAGTGTTAAAAGTAATTTGCCATAATTTTGAAAAATGAAGAAATATATGCTGATGAGATTTCCGAAGTCAAAGGCGAATCAAGTGAACTTATTAGTGATAGCGAGACAGTAATGTACTGATGCAACATAAATGAACACATAATACACAATATATATTTTCTTTAGCATCCAAATAAAAATACAACAAGCAGAATGCTAGTCAGAGTGGTGTCCAAAGCAAATCCTGGATATGTCTGCAACTTTCAGCTGTATTGTGAAAAGGTGACAACTTAGAAAAGACCGTTTCACTTGCGCTTCCCGACCAAAGTTTGCGGCAATCAGCTGCAGATTGTTTTAAATTTTCACCCATTCTCAGTATTAGGAAAGTGAACATTTTGCCGATCCAAATGTGTGAAGATGTAAAAGCAGAGTCGTGCCATTGCTGGGGCTAACTGGAATCAGAATAACTTACTGTGTCTGGTCTGAACTACGAACCTGTTTTTCTCTCAAGAATGTGTGAATTTTAGTGCAGAAAATATTAAGTTTCTTAACACAAAAATGTTTCTGATAAAGAACAGAATTTTTAGGGAAGTGATGACGACACACTAGGAAGCAGAGCAGAAAAATACACCAGCCAAAAGATGAACAGTAAGGATGTACAATTTTTCTCTGGATGGAATCAGATATAAGCCAATATTTATGTATAGACAGCATAGAAAGCCCAGCCTCACGAAGGATCCAGCAGGAGACTGTCCCTCACAGGAACTACCATGTGAAGACACGCTCCCATCTCAGCACACGCCAGGCCACACCGCCCTACATACCACATTGGAGTCCACAACCGACACAGCCACTGCCCATGACGGGTGCCAGCCACTCTCATGTGCGCCTGCTCCGAACTGAGCCTTAGCTAGATGTCCTGCTTCAGACGTCTCAGGCTCGACTCCTGGCTCCTCTGCTCACTGCCTCTTGCCATGGGCATGGCTTGTTTGTCTAGTCGTCTGTCAAACGGCGATCATGACCACTCCTGCCTCGTAGGGCGACTGAGAGGATTCTACTAGCCAAGACATAAAGATCGCTCAAGACACTTCCTAGATGTGGCCAAGGTCAACGGGGGCCAATAAGGGTCAACAAGGAAATGGAGGTGGCCTTGGCATGAGTGCCACAGGAGGACAATTCTGGGCACCGTCCACTCGCAGCCTCACACAACTGCAGGGTTCCTGGTAGCTGACTGTTCTATACACTGGCTGTGGTGCTTGGCAGATCAGGCCTAGACTGACGCTCTGGAAAAGCTGACGGCATGAGTCAGGCTCCCAGAGTGGGGTTTTGTCTACATGTCCTTCACCAACCCACCTCTCACATTCAGAATTCTGTCTTTCATCAGGCGAGGGTCTGGGGTTATGCAGAAGGACTTGAACACTGGATTCAGTTGGCCCAGGCCAGGAGACACTTCCGTCACTGCCTGCACCCATCCAGTGAACTACGGTGAAAACAATATGTCCCTGCTATGGAGAATTAGTTCTCAAATGCAACTTTTCAGACAGTCAGAAGGCTCAGCTGCAAATATAATTACCAATATACTGAAAGGTGTCCAGTAAGACTCACACCTTCCGAAAAGCATCCGTGAGAACATTCGCGGAAAGTCATGATGGCCACTGACAGCTACATTTTCAGTAAAAATATTTCCATAAAATAATTACTCAAAAAACAACATAAGAAGACAAGCATTGTGTTACTTCAAAACAAGATTTAATTGGGTTCTAATTTTGCAACAGGTAAAAAATCTAACCTGATGCCTTGAAACTTCTTGAAAATGTGTAGCTAAGCTTTCAGAAGAGGAAATAAAGAAGATATGAGTTCCTTAGGATAAAAAAACATCGTGACCTTTAAAATCTGAAGGCAAATTTTCTGAGTTTATGACTAATTTAACAATTTTCTTTAGCGTGTTCATAATGTTTTGAAAGCTCAGACCTGCAATGTTATCCTGGTACCAGCACCGTGACTAAAAATTAATGTATTTGGGACGCACTGATAGATGCTTAGAACAAAATATACAACTAAAGTGTTTCTTTCGAGGAAAAAAATACAGAGAAAATATCAAACAGCCTTCATTACAGATGGTACCAACAGAACCCCAGCTGCTCACACACAACATGCAGCCTGCAAAGCTGGTCTTACCTTCCACCATGAGCATGGGTTCCCTTCCCCCGCCATGGGCCAGCATCTCCCGGCGGTAGCGCTCCCCGGCGGCCCTGGGGAAGAGGGGTCAGTCAGACACCGGTGGACACCACCTTCCTGTCCCCACTCGAGCTGGTCTGGAGGTCTCTGAGGAAGCCATGCTGATGTCACATTCATGACAGCTGCCTCTATGTGGCCATTGGGCTCCTGGTTATCTTCTTGCTTCTAAAAATCTAATTCTGCTTTAAATGACTCCAAAATAAATTAAGCCAGGTATGGTATATTCACTGTAAAAGGACAACTGTATTGTTTGCTTTCTGTTTGATCAGCAAGTGACTTGTCTTCATGGAAAAGATTATTTAGCTTATGCATTATAGAATGAGTGAGAGATTATATCTTATTCTCTCTAGTTTTTAGGGTTTTTTTTTTTTTTTGAGTTGGAGTCTCACTCTGTCGCCCAGACTGGAGTGCAGTGGCCGCTCCCGGCCACCGCAGCCTCGACCTGCTGGGCTCCGGTGATCCTTCAGCCTCAGTCTTCCAAGTAGCTGGAACTACAGGCGCGTGCTACCACACCCAGCTAATTTTTTGACTTATTGGAAAATGAGGTCTCGCCAAGTTGCCCAGGTGGGTCTCAAACCCGCGGGCTCAGGCAATCCACTCAACTCAGCCTCCCAAAGCACGGGATTACAGGCTGAGCCACCGAGCCCGGCCAGGGTGATTTTTAAATGAGGTTTGAATTTATTTATGTCATTCTTTACTTTAAAGACATAACTTGAGATGGGCCTAACAGAGAGAAAAACAGCCACAGAAGTGAAGGTGAGAGTTGGCGGGACAGGGCTGCCGACACCTGGGCTGGGATGGCAGCTAATGGACCAGAGCACTGGTGGCCTGCTAGGGAGGGAGCATCCTGTGCCACTGACTCCCATGTGACACCGAGATCCACAAGAAACTTCTCTGATGATGTGTGAAGGCGAGTTCTGAAGTTGTATAAATTCTTCAAGCCAGTGGCACCTGGACACAAGCTGTATAGTACTGCTCTTGTATTTTATAGAAAATGTAATTCCTTGAACACAATGGCTCCGTATACTGAGGCTAGTTAAAGGAATTCCGATGCTGTTTTCACCAGGAGTCCTGGAGCATGTATATGGGAATTCCATGCCCGTGGTCTCTTGCCAGGCTTTGTGACAGCAAGACAGCATCAAAACAGGACCTGGTGCCACCCTGGGGGACCCCGGTGAGCCTTCTTAGGACAGGCAGCTGACAGGCCCTGCCTGACCCGGCCTGGGTGCTCAGAGCCAGTCCAACCAGGACAGAGTGCCCCTTCCCTAAACCAAAGCCCCCGACAGGCCTGCGGCGCCTGCCGCATCTCAGCCTGCACTCCTGGCTTCCTGCTAAAGGCTCCCGCCCGGATCTCTCTCAGAAGTGGGATCAAAAAGGAGACCTTGCCAGAGTCAGAAACGTTCTAGTCCAGTGAGCATTTTACTAGCTGGCTTTTATGTGTCCATAAAAGTAGGGCAAGCACATGTCTGGGCAAGAGCACACACATAAACAAGATGTAAATGTTTGGAAACCTATCTGTTCTACAGTATGTGGTTTTCTAGTAAAGTGCAGTTCCTGTAGACAAGATGGTATTTGGCCTATTTTACAGAAATCACCAGTAAAAAGTTATAATCTCCGAAATTGATCTGCTGATGTCAAGTTTGGCTGCAGATCCTTTGACAATAATAAAATCTGAAAAGCAGACCAAATGTCTACAGTCTACAAAGGGCAGAAAACAAAATACATGTGGGTACCAGGCTGTGAAACACTAAAAACTCCTGTGACATCAGATTCAAGTTCAAAGGATTTGAAGCTAAGCATGATTATTAGCTGCTGAGAAAATCCAAATCCTTACCAAATTGTGTGAGCAAAACTGAAGGGGTGTGGAGGGGGCGGGGCAAGGCAACACCAGGAACCAGAAGACCCGGGTTGCAGTCTCAGTCCAGCCTGCCAACTGTCCAGCCTCCAGCCACGACTTCCCTTCTCGGAGTCTGTTTCCCCTTGTGGAAGTGCTGGGTTCTGCCAAGGCTGCAGTCCCCCTTCCATCCGACCTGAAGTCTCCAACCCCCCCCCATAAGTGGTGAGGACCACCTCACGCAGGAGTCGACGGGCCTCACGCAGGAGTCCCTGGGCACCGTGGCCACCACTGCAGGGCCACAGGGCCGGCAGTGAGGCAGCTTCCCGGCCACGGACAGCCCCAGGAAGCAGGGCAAGCATCGGCAGGAAGGGCCCCATGCCATTCCTGCCAGGGGTGGCCGTGTCCCGAAGGCGGAGCTTCTCGGAGCCTGACCTCAGAGGCAGTGGAGTGGGACTCTGGCTGAAGGGGGGACAGTTTGGGGACGTCTCACCTGTTAAAAGGGTCCTGTAGAAAACACTCCTTCCACACCATGGACGCCACGGCCCTGGACATCAGGTAAGAGTAGTACTTGGCACCATAGCCCACCAGGTGGCTAAACCGCAGCTGCCAGGCCTGCAAGACAGACATGGCCGAGAGCTCAGTCTCCGTATCCGAGTATAGTGAGACACAGGGCATGGGAAACCTGCACATGCTTCCATTTAGACGTCCCCCCGAGGGCCACAGCATTAATACCCTCATGTGCTACACCCTGCTACAGGGCCAACTGGGTCTCTTCAGAACTCACATGTTGAACCCTCAGCTAGTACCTCGGAGTGTGGCTGTGCTTGGAGGCAGGGCCTTCGAAGAGGCGATCAAGTTAAAGTGAGGCTGCTCGGACAGCCCTCACCCAAGCCATGTCCTTAGAAGAGGAGGAAACCTGGACACACAAAGAATTACAGCAGCATGTGCTTAGGGGAAAGCCACATGAGGACAAGGGAGAAGGTGGCCTGCTGCAAGCCAGGGAGAGGCCTCAGGGGAAGCCGGCCCTGCTGACACTGTGGTCTTGACCTTCAGTCTCAGAACTGAGAGTCAATGTCTGCTGCTTAGCCACCCAGGCTGTGGTGTTGGTCGTGGCGGCCCGAGCTGACTACATATTCACAGAGAAAATTTTATATAATGTAAATATCATCGTCTATACACATAGATATGTTCTGCTCCTAATACATGGTTAATCTTCTTTATTGAGTTTAATTGCTTAGCTAATTGTAATACATTTTATTTCATGTGACTAGAAGAAAGGGAAAGTCATGAGTTTACTCATTTTTAATGATCAGGTTTGTTCAGAAAACTTTCCTCCGCAATGATTCTTTACTGCATGATCTACTTTTCACATGGCCTAGCTTTTTCTAACACTAAAACCTTCCATAATTTTACCATAATTACATTTTGTGGCAAAGCAAAAAGGCCTACAGCAGAGGAAAAACGGGATACAAATGAAAACCCTAACTGCATAAAGAGGGGTAACTGGGAAGGCATTTCTTATTTTTAGAATAGACAAATGCTAAGAGCCCGAGTTCACCACCAGCAACTTGGGCCTCTCAAGGGAAGGGTGAAGAGACCAACAGGGCTTCCTCCTCTTCTAAGCCTGTCATGCTTCTTTTCTGATCACAGCAAAGAAGAAGCTGACACCTAACTGCTTTGTACAAGGTCATCACTCTGGGATTCATTCTGTGAAGAAACATAGAGAGGACTGCCCAGAGCTGGTGGCAGGAGTGCCACTAACGAGGGGCCTAGCTGGGCTGTCCTGTCCTCCTAGCCCCATTCTGTTGCACCTGGCCAACGGCATCAGAGGAGGAGCCCAAGCCTGACACCGAGAGAGAACATCTGTTCTTTCAGAGTTACTGTAAGAAAGCCCACATGGGTCTCCAGGGAGGGCACTTTCCACTGGAAATCCCTTCCCATATGTCTTCTCTCTGCCTTGGCCAGACAGCAGGAAGGTTGCGCGACACAGAGCCTCAGCTTGGGATGGCACATTCCTTGTCACATCACTCCAGCAACAGCAGCAATCAGGACACCTCTCCTCAAAGGGCACCCTGTGCTTTGACAATTCTTACTCTTCTCAAACAAACCAATCGGACACACAATCATCCACTTTCTTCAATATATGCTTTTATCAGAAGAAATGCAAATTTCTCCTGAAAAAAAATACAAGCTTGTGTCCTTTTTAACCACAATAATAATTCTCTAACAAATCTCTTAACTCCCTAGAATGTAAAGTATAAACAAAGTGCACTGCAACTCTAGAAACTATATAAGAAATTAGATAGCAAAGTGAAGTTGGCATGTCAAGAAACAAGCATTTCAAAAACAGGCTCCCTCTCCCAGGGTGCCAACTTGCTGAGTCCTGCACCCACGACGGTGGCTTTAAAGATGAGCTATGGTGCTAGTCACGCCCTGGCTGGGCCTGGCTGGGTGTGGGAGCCATTGCGGGAGGTGTGTAGGCACACGTGGGCCATCACGGCAGGGAGGCACAGCTGGCCCCGACACCCACCCTCCTAAGAGGAGAGCAGACGGGCACCAAGGGAGCCTTGTCCTGAAGGAGAGCGCCACGGCCACCAGGTTTGTGGGTCCCTGTCTGGCAGTCACTGCCTGGCAAGGCAGTTGCCATCATCCTCTGTGTCTTTGGGTCTCTGTCACAGTCAGCAGACGGAGTGGCGGGATCTACATCACCAGATGCCCTGCTCCTGGCTTGGGCGCCACCCCAGGTTGAGCCATGAAACACACCAGCTATGAGCAGAGTTTCACAGAGGCCGTGACAGTACAGGGGAGCCACGCTAGAAACGTGGCTACAGGCCCTGCGTGCAGTGGCAGGCAGAGACAGGAAGACTCAGACAGTTCACCCTGTCTGGGTGCAAGTGACATTTAAAACAAAACAAATAAGCCACGCATGGTGGTGCATACCCGTAATCCCAGCACTTTGGGAGGCATAGGCAAGAGGACTGCCTGAGTCCAGGGGTTTGAAACCAGCCTGGACAACTTGGTGAGACCTCATATCTACAAAAAATTTAAAAACTTAGCCAGGTGTGGTGGCACGTGCCTGTAGTCTCAGCTACCTGGAAGGCCATAGCAGAAGGGTGGCCTGAGCCCAGCAGGTCGAGACTGCAGTGGCCATGAGTGTACCACTGCCCTGGTGATAGAATGAGACTCTGATTCGAAAAACAAGCAAAAAACAAAACAAAACAAAACAAAATAGCCCAGGACCATCTGTGGATCAGATGAAGGCTGGGTGTTTGGGAACTCATTTACAATGTGTGCACAGTTCCATGTATTCTGTCCTACGTGGAAGGGATCCATGCCCACTTCTGTGCCATGCTGGAACCTTAGTCTACTCACTGAGGATCAGAACACAGGCCATGGGTGATGAGTCACACCAAGCCACTGGATGGACAAGTTCTGCGGTGGCAGAGCACGGCCTGCTTTTGGGCTCTGTTTCTCGAGCAAGACGCCGGCCTTGCGCCCTGATGAGATGAGCATCTCTCGGCAGACACCTCAGAATGAGCAGCACCCTGTTCAGGAGCTTTGTCTTGAAACATTTCCTACCTGGAGATCTGCCGATCCAGTCTGGCAGCTTTTGCAGCACAGAGCAGAGTCGTGCTGAATGCAGCTTTGCCTTATCCTGAAAGCAGGCTCACTTCCACGGCGGCATTTGATCTGAGCTAAGAAATGTCTAGGTTCCCTTGTTTCATCAACTCATAACTGTGTTCCCACAACAACAGACGATAAAAAGAAGAGCGTTCAAAACCTCAGAGAGAGACCACAGAACTCACGCACGCACCCTGTCCTGACCTCCCGACCTGGGGCTGGGTCTCGGGCACATGACCACATGCTGTGTTTCATTCTTCAGTGACAGGCTCAGGTGCAGCATTCCCCCCATCCCTCGAGACAAGCTCACCAACCCCACCTGACACCTCTCATCGGGGCTTTGAGTTTACACCCACTGAGACCCGTGATTCCACTGCTGTGTGAACACAATTGCCGAATTCCTGCTAATTCAACCTCACATGAAGTCCCTGTTACCACTTCACTCATTCACCTGGAAGAATGAAAGACAGCGTTTCACATTAAGCTCGGGAATTATGATATCCTCTTGCTTTTACGCTGAAGTACTCTTCCTCCTAAGGGATTTTGTCCAGTGATGCAAATGCTCGCCCCAGGCTTCGGCGTTTAATGTATAGCTCTGATTTCAGAAACCACTTCTAGGCGCCTCTGTGTTTCCCTTGTATTATGGCTGGAGACGGGAATTTCCCAGTCCCAATACTCTCGACAGCATGGCTGTGTAAGCCCATTCTGGTGTTCACAATCTCCGCAGTCCCACGGGACACAGCTGGAAGCTGACTTTGGGGCCCTGCTGCTCCGAGGATGCCTGCTGGCTTGCAGCCCCTCCCAATCCCACAGCTTCCCAGGCCAGGAGTGTAAAGGCCGGGGACTCGCACAGGGCAAGCTCACATCGCTGCCCGAGACACTGAAGGACGGACCCCAATGCTCCCTTGCGCATGCGGTTCTTTACCTCCAGCCACACAGGCACACGTGCACTTAGCTAGAACTTACTCTAGGACAGTCTTCCCACAGAGCATCATACAGCGACCCCTGAATGGCAAGACACAGATCTTCCCATTAGATACAGCCAGGCTCTCCATACTGGTGTGTTCTGCATCCACACCAAGCACGGACGGAAGACCCTGACTTCCAGGGCTGCGAGACCTGCACGTGGGAGGGCCGGCTTCCACCCACAGGCTCTACAGGGCTGACCGCAGAATGGAACATGCATGAGGTAGTGTCCAGGGTCTGGAAGCCAGTCCCCCAGACATGCGGGCCACTGGATAGTACTCCCCGTCTGTGGCCTCACTGTCCCCAATTTGGTACCTGTCATCTTTGGTCTAGGAGGTGAGTACAGTACAGTTACATGTTTTGGGAGTTGCCATGTTCACTAATTTTTATGACCGTGTTATTATACATGTTCTATTTTATCAGTTACTATGGTCAACCTCTTACTATGTATCATGTATAAGTTTAACTTTATCAGAGATACAGATGTATAGAAAAAAAAACAGTCTATACAGGGTTTCGTACTCCCTGGAGTTTCAGGTGTCTCCCCTGCAGATAAGGGAACCACTGAGAATCGCAAGAGAATGGACACAACACCACTGCTTTCCCGACTAAAACTCCCATCAGGGCACGGCCTGCATGCCATGTTCGTGTCTAGACTTGGCACAGCACCGGAAGCACGACCGGGATTTGTAGTGGTTGCTGGATGAGTGGGTGGTGGGTAGACAGACTCCATGGGATGCCTTCACAGTGATGCCCAGCATTACTGCCAGACAGGACTTCTGCCCAAGACAAGGACCCCAGGAGAACATCTGTATCACAGAGAAGAGGATTCTACATTGCTAGAAACAAATCTGGGTCTTAGACTACTAATTGTTTTAAAAATAATCTTCTTTGACTACATTATTTGAAAGGTAATGTAAGGCTTTCGAGGTTAATTTTGGCACCAGATCTCCAGGTTGGGCCTATCATGGAATCTGTGCAGGGCTTCCTGGAGGATGATTTCTGTCTACTTCAAGCCTCAGGGA